AAAAAGAATTTATACTAAAATTTTGCAAAGAATTTTTTTTTTTGTTAGGACGCGAAAGTTTAGTTTCATAAGTAAAATTTCAAGTTAAAAGCGATTTTTTTTAAAATACGATCAATTTTTTTAATTTTAATGATCGTTCATGTAAATTCGTAAATTTGATGTGACGGACACTGATTGGATATAAAGCGTGATTTCCAAATCGGGCGGGTGGTACATAGATGCACCCGTGCATTACATATGTACTATTTCGGTTTTGTTACCATTATACTAATCGAATTTAAAGTTTTGATCTATATTCTAAAATATCTAGTTTTGGCATTATTTACATGTGGCAAATTTTCCTTTTGAAAAAGTCTACTTCTCTTTTTTTATCGTCAACACCCTTTTTAGGATTGATATTACACTTATGACACTATTCAGTTGATTGCTATCATGTAAAGATAGTTCTTTTGGTATCATTAAGAATTATCGTTTCGATCGAATAGTATAATGCTTTTTATTGACATTTTACAATAATTTTGAGTCATACAAGTGGTTTTATTTTTTTACAAAAATACATTAAAATATTTATAGATCTGATTTGACTTGTTTTTAGATTTTGAATAGCAAAAATATGAGTCCATCTAAACTAATTCCGGTCGATGTTCTGGGCAAAGAATACAAAATTACTGGTAAAAGAAATATTCCAAGTAATTTGGATAATAATAAAAATAAACAGAAGCTTAATAATCCTAAACCCCGCAAAGTGCTTACACTTAAATCATCTGAAGTCAGAATGGACTATGAACAAGTACTATTAAAAAATATTCATTCTAATTAATTTCAAAAATTTTTATATTCAAGTTTACAAAGTTCAGCGAGTCAAAATATAGTTTCACCGCGTTTATTAGTAACCTTACCATTAGCAGCTTCACTCATAGTATTAGCTATTCTTATTCAGATTCTGTGGTGCAATTTAATTGGTTTACTTATTGCTAATAAACTGTTATAAACTTGACCGATCCTGTACATTTAACAATTATTATAAAAATCAATTAATGAATAGAGAAGACAAGCAGGGAAAAAAATTCAGACGCAAAATTGAGTGCGGATTGCGCACTAAATTTAAATTTAATGTGCGAATTGCGCACTCAATTTTAAATTTAATATTTGCATGCCGCACATACTTTACTGAAACCTGCAAATTAGTAACATTAGAACTATTTTAAAATAATTATAAAATAATTATAAATTAGCTATATAGTTACTTTATAGTAGCTGTAGTTATGCATTTACTACATGTTAGCAATACACCTACTTTTGTAACTGGACAGCACATTGACCAATTGATCAATACTTGTTTAATAACTTTTGGC